GTCAGGGGTCAGGGGTCAGGGGTCAGAGCATCCCTCCGGGGCGGCTGACTAACAGACCACAGGCTGGACTCACCGTGAGGAACTTCCAGTCCTTCTGCACCCGGAGGGGAGTGGGCCCGTCCGACTCGTCAACAGCAAAGTTGCCCAGAAACAGGTCGATGGAGTCCTGAAAGCAGCACCAAGGAGAACAGCCATCCCACAGTCATCCCACAGTCAGCCTCCAGCCAGGACTAAGCCCCACCAGGGTCAGTCAGCCCCACCAGGGCTGGGCCCCGGGGGGCTGGGGGGGGGCCACAGCCATCCCAGAGTCAGCACCAGGTTGGTTAAAAGTATCGATACTCAAAAAAGTATGGATACTAAAACGTTGTATCCGGATACGATACTCATTTCCAAAAGCATCGATACCACCCTAACGCAGCCCTTCCCTCTTATTTATTTACATTGTTTATGATCATTAACATGACGTTAGCCTTGAATTGCTAGCTGCGGCTAATGGCTAATAATAATACCATAACATCAGTCAGCCCCCAGCCAGTCCACAGCCCCATCAGGGCCGGGCCCCGGGAGGCTGGGGGAGGCCACAGCCATCCCAGAGTCAGCACCAGGGTTGTCCAAAGTATCAAAACTCAAAAAAGTATTGATACTAAAACGTTTTATCCGGATACGATACTCATTTTCAAAAGCATCGATAGCAACCCTCCCCTCTTCTCTCCGATTTATTCATTTATTTACGTTGTTTGTGATCATTAACATGACGTTAGCCTTGAATTGCTAGCTGCGCTAGCTGCGGCTAATGGCTAATAATAATAATACCATAACATCAGTTAGCCCCCAGCCAGGACCAAGCCCCACCAGGACCAAGCCCCATCAGGGTCAGTCAGCCCCACCAGGGCCGGGCCCCGGGGGGCTGGGGGAGGCCACAGCCATCCCAGAGTCAGCACCAGGTTTGTTAAAAGTATCGATACTCAAAAAAGTATTGATACTAAAACGTTGTATCCGGATACGATACTCATTTTCAAAAGCATTGATACCCCCCCCCCCCTTCTCTCCGATTGATTTATTTATTTACGTTGTTTATGATCATTAACATGATGTTAGCCTTGAATTGTTAGCGGCGCTAGCTTCGGCTAATGGCTAATAATAACACCATAACATCAGTAACAGGTCAGTTTGAAACCAAAGACACTAACCTGTCGGAATTCTGTTAAATTTCGGTGTCTTTGTTTTTATCCTTGTGGTATCGATTAATGGTATCGAGTATCAAATATTTTCCTGAGTATCGGTATCCAGTTGAACATTTTTGTATCGTGACAACCCTAGTCAGCCCCCAGCCTCCCCATCCATTAAGGGATAAACTGCTCCTGAGTCTACCTGTATTCAACCCCTGTTACTCTGTCTAACTTGTTCTCAATTTCTGCTTTCAAGGTCTTACCTTTTAAATAGTTGTTCTTTTTAAATATTGTATGTAAAGAGCTTTTAATTGTCTTGTTATAAATACATCTGTCTTGCTTTTGTAGCCTCCAACTCCTTCCCACCCTAAACTCTTTTTTGAGGGTAGAAATCGACTCCTGAGGCTAAAACCTCGAGTCTCAATCTCCCCACATCCAGATAAGAGATAGTTGGGATATTATCATCCCTCCAGCCACTCTACCCAGAAGTCTATGAAAACCGAATACAATTAGGGGTGTTTTTTCAGAGTGAATTTAAAAGTAAAATTAAATAAAAGAAGTAGTCTGTATAGAGTGAATTCTTCAATGTGAGCTGTGAAGATCATTGTTATGAACTGGTATCGTAAAACTGTATTATATTGAGTTCAAAATAACCAAATAAGGTAATTTTTATTAACTCATTGACTGCCAGCCATTTTCAGAACAGAGTCCCATACTGCCAGAGTTTTTTGAGCATTTTGACTTATTTTTCAAGAGCCACAGAATAGTTTGTGCTATGACTATGTCAACACCGAACACACCAAAAGAAAGAGTAGACTCTCTTCTTTTATCAGGAAAAAAAAATTGTTTCTACCTTATTCCGTTCTTCCTGGACTTGCGTCTCACCGGCGACATGTTCTCTCATAGAACCGTTACCTTTTTCTTATTTGCCTACAGTCTATGCTCATCTCCCATCAAAAGTGGCACTGCCCCCTAGAGGGTCAATTTGTTACTACATACTCTGTCTA